CTATAGAATGTTTGAAACTAATGTTGATTATGATATGCGGTTCATGGTAGATTTAAAAATTGTTGGTTGTAGCTGGATCGAACTTCCTGCAGGCTCTTACACTATACATGATTCCAATTCACGAATAAAAGGCCATTCTAGATGTCAATTAGAGGTTGATGTTGGTTGGCAAAAAATGATCGCTCATGCTCCAGAAGGTGAATGGAGTAAAGTTGCCCCTTTTCGAATTCTCAGCTTTGATATTGAATGTGCTGGCCGTAAAGGCATATTTCCTGAAGCAGACAAAGATCCTGTTATACAAATAGCTAATATGGTACAAATAGAAAATAAACGATTAATTAGAAATGTATTTACATTAAATACATGTGCACCAATAGTTGGTAGTCAAGTTATAAGTTGTGAAAAAGAAAATACTATGCTTGAAAAATGGGCTGCATTTGTTCGAGAATGTGATCCTGATATTATTACTGGATATAACATTAATAATTTTGATTTACCTTATTTGTTGAATCGTGCGAAACATTTGCATACAAAAAATTTCAATTACTTGGGACGCATCAAAGACATACAGTCTGTTATAAGAGAACAAGTTCTTCAAAGTAAACAAATGGGCAGAAGAGAAAATAAAAGTGTTAATATTGATGGAAGAGTTCCTTTTGATTTATACTTGGTGTTAGTGCGAGACTATAAGTTAAGATCATATTCATTAAATTCCGTTAGTTATCATTTTTTACAAGAACAAAAAGAAGATGTTCACCATAGTATTATAACAGATTTACAAAATGGCACTCCACAAACAAGACGCCGTCTCGCAGTTTACTGTTTAAAAGATGCATTCCTTCCATTAAAACTTTTAGATAAACTTATGTGCTTGATTAATTACATGGAAATGGCCAGAGTAACTGGTGTTCCATTGGGAAGTCTCTTAACTGGAGGTCAGCAGGCAAAAGTTGTATCTCAATTACTGCGTCTAGCACAGGAAAAAAATTATATAATGCCTACCATGGCTGGTGGTATGCAGGATGAACAATTTGAAGGAGCAACTGTAATAGAACCTATTAAAGGTTATTACGCTGATCCAATTGCAACATTGGACTTCACTTCCTTGTATCCGAGTATTATGATGGCGCACAATTTATGTTATACTACTCTGTTGTCTCTAAAAACAATAAACCTTTTAAATTTGTCTGAAAATGATTATACTAAAACTCCTTCTGGTAGTTACTTTTTGTCTAATTCTATACGAAAAGGATTATTACCAGAAATTTTAGAAAATTTATTATCTGCGCGAAAGAAGGCTAAAACAGATTTGAAATCTGAGACCGATCCTTTTAAAATAAAAGTCTTGGATGGTCGGCAATTGGCATTGAAAATTAGTGCAAATTCAGTTTATGGCTTTACTGGAGCTCAAGTAGGAAAGTTACCATGTTTAGAAATATCAACAAGTGTTACCTCATATGGTAGAACGATGATTGAACGTACTAAACAAGAGGTCGAACAAAAGTATTGCATAGCAAATGGGTATGAACATGATGCTGTAGTTATTTATGGAGACACCGATTCTGTTATGGTAAAATTTGGAGTGAAGTCTATTGAGAAAGCTATGGAATTAGGACGTGAAGCAGCTGAATATGTAACAACAAAATTTATAAAACCTATAAAATTAGATTTTGAAAAAGTTTATTTTCCATATTTATTAATTAATAAAAAACGTTATGCTGGCCTTTATTTTACACGTCCTGACAAATACGACAAGATGGACTGTAAGGGATTAGAGACAGTACGCAGAGACAATTCACCTTTAGTATCTAACATGATTAACACCTGTTTGCAAAAGCTACTTATTGATAGAGATCCTGATGGTGCAGTTGCCTATGCAAAAGAAGTTATCAGTGATCTGTTATGCAATCGAATTGACATATCACAGTTGGTAATTACGAAAGAGTTGACCAAAAATGATTACACTGCAAAACAAGCTCATGTAGAGTTATCGATAAAGATGAAAAAAAGAGATCCTGGAAACGCACCCAAGTTAGGCGACCGTATACCATATATTCTAATTACAGGTACCAAGGGTTCACCAGCATATCAACGAGCAGAAGATCCAATATTTGTTTTGGAAAATAATATACCTATTGATTTTAACTATTATTTGGAAAATCAACTGTCTAAGCCTTTGGTCAGAATTTTTTCTCCAATTCTTGGAGACAAAGCAGAATCTGTTTTGTTGAAAGGCGATCATACACGTAAAAAAGCCATGGTAACATCTAAAGTGAGTGCATTATCAGCCTTCACAAAAAAAAGAGAAGTATGTCTAGGGTGTAAAAGTGTACTGCCTACTAATGAGGAGAAAAATGCTCTATGTAAATATTGTATGCCCAAACAAGGTGAGCTATATTATCAAGAACGTGTTAAAGTGAACGATCTACAAGAAAAGTTTTGCCGTTTATGGACTGAATGTCAGCGCTGTCAAGGAAGTTTACATGAAGAAGTAATTTGCACTAGTCGAGATTGTCCAATATTTTATTTAAGGAAAAAAGTCCAGATTGACTTAACTGCTCAGGTGAAAACGATGGATAGATTTGGAAATCCAAATAATAAATAGAATCATAATAGATAACACAAAATAAACAATTTTTTTTTTTTGTCCATTTGTTTTGTATAATCAAATTTTTTTATTGTTTTACTACATTTCATTATTATTTTGTCAGAAAGAATTTTTATATTAATGTCACGTAATTCAATAATTTTCAGTATTATATTATGATAACCACAAAGTGAATTTTGTATCTGGTTTAAAATATGGTATTTTTGTTTCTACAATTTTTTTTATTTAATTTGACTACAATGTCTTATAATTAAAATAGTTTAGGTAGACTAGGAAAAGATCTTGCATAATGTTAAAAAATTATTATGTAATTAAATACTTTATACTAAACTGTTTAATGTTGTTGTATATTAATGTAAAATTATAAATTTTTTGTATGCCAATTTAAAAGATTTTAAGTGCTTTAATTTATTTTAGATATTCATAATTATTTGATTATTAGTTATTACTTATTACCAGAGTTATTTGCTTAACTGTAAATTGATTTTACATACTGATAAATTTAAATCAGACATCATAGTTGATGAAACACTAATCCAATTCATGGCAATATTGTAAATGTTAAATTGTATTTAGCACATTAGTTATAGCCGTATACTATCAGAGTAAGTGTCATGGGCTGTTAAACAAACAATATTGTATACAAAAAGTAACAATACTAGAATATTAATAATAAAAAATAAAAAAAAATTCATGAATAATAGCTGGCAAGATTTGATTTTGAATAAAATCATGCTGTACCTATATAGTAATAAAGACTACCCATAGCCAATAGTTGGTACCTACATAATATACGTGATGTACTCTTCCGCAACAATAGTTATGTACTTCCATATTTTATTATCACTACCCCATATTATACAACTATACTAGTTATCTATATTCTATACATATAGAATATAAATTGTAATGAACTTGCAAAGTAGGTATATAAACTACAATGATATTACAATTTACATTGTACGGTAACCACTGCTATACAATATTATATTATTATCACAGAATATAAATTTAAATATTGTACAAATTATAGTGAAGTGTACTTTAATAAGTTACCTATTATAAAATAAATTAACTGATAAGTAACTATGAGATATCTATCATGAAAACAAATTTAACTTAGTTAAAAGTGGTACCTAACTTAACTTAACTATCTATCTTGTTGATGAGTAGCCATCATATTTTTATCATTTTATTGATTACTTATGAATTTTTTTCATGTAAATGTGAATTTACAATATCCCCCCCCCAACATTTCTTCCCTAGTTGCACCACTGGCAGCCCCACCCAACCTAACATGTTGGCCGTGCTATACATTATATCCGGAAAGTCCTGTATCAAAAGTCACTTAGTATCTAGGTAGAAAATCAATTTATTTAAATGCTGTTTTTTACAGTAGGTAATAACATAGAATAAGTCATAGATTATAAATACTAGTATTTATAACAAATGGTAGTTAGTATAAAAAATTCTAATAGAATGGAGTAAATTTCAAATTTTTATATGCTATCATTATAGCGTATTTTACATTTTCAAGATATACTCTGTTCCACGAGAGATCATGCCGCTCACCGACCAAAACTGGTTCCTCTTCGCCACACCCTGTCATAGGGTAACTAGTTTCGACAGCAGGGTGACGTACGGGGATGCGCAGAACCGACATGATCTCTCATGGATAACTCTTTTCTTGATCATATTTCTTAAAACAGTTAAAACTGTTTAAAAAAATATATATATTAAAATTGAGTGAAAATTGACTCGGGTTAAAAAATCTAATTTCATAAACATTTCTTGAAAATTGTCTAATTTGAATCTTGTGCCATTCAATTTAATGCACACACTTCTTACTGCAAAACAACTGCATTTAAATATATTGATTTGCTAAGGAATATAAAAATAATATAAATAATATTAAATAAATAATACTAAAATTATATATATACATATATAATTTTTATATAAATATAAAAATTTGAATACTAAAGATGATGTGCTTGAATTTTTGGGACACACTGTATAATATACTAAATATAGCTGTGATATAAAATGTATGATTATGAGTTACTCAATATACTAATACTTATAAGTAGATACATACTCTTATTGTAGGTACATTATAATTTTAATGACATAAAGTAAAGTATAACTAATCAGTGTTTTTTTTTTAAATGTATTTAATATTGTTTTTAAATGGTGACCCTCCCACCACAAAAAAACAACAACAAAATCCTAGATCCACCTCTGTCATGTTTAGATTTATTCACGGACACAGTATCATGGGAACCCAGTTGTCAGTTGAAAACAATCATATTCAAAATATTTCTACATAAACTTTCAACCTGAAATTCAATAAAACTGTACCCGCCTACCTGTTTATTTTCTCCTGTAAACCATGAAAAAAAGATGGGATAGGTATATCACAAATGATGCAGCGTGAATGTATGATAAATTTGATAATAGTATGATCACAGCTAGTCAGTGGCATAGACAAGGGGGCGTGGGTATTAGGTCCCCCCCCCATTGTTTTTTTATTAGGTACCTTAGTAAAAAGTTTTGAGAAAAAAAAATTTAATAGGTAGGTTACAGTACACGAATCTCTGACGTTTCGTCCTCGTCTTCGTAAATAATAAAAGTAAACTGTAAACAAATATAATACATTTAGGTACAATACAAATACTTATTTACATAATTATTTATGTTTTGATATTTCAGTCACTGTATATTTTTAATTTAAAATCCCAAAACCATATAAAAATTATTTACAGTAAGTAATTACCTACCTATTCTTTTTAAAAACTATAAAATTTCAGTATACTTATTAAATTTAATTCATTATCTACAATATAATTTTTATCAGTCAAATTTAATTTTTAAATAATATAAGTAAACTATGCCATATGGTTAAATAATGTCTTATAACTCCCGGAGGCCAAATGTCCAATATTTATTTACAATTTTAATATTGAATTGTATAATAGACAGGCACCTAATTAATATTCATAGTCCATTGTTATGTAATTAAATTATAGCTGTACATTTTATTTATATATTTCAATGTTGAATTTTAGGCGAAATGCGGCGCCCGGAGCATGGCTAATGTTGTTGTTGCCGTGTGCAATAATCACCGGCCTTTACACATGCGAAACCTACTCGGAACCGTACCTAATCTCAACGATACTGAGTTTGGGTATTTTGGTTAGTGCGGTGTCCGACGTTTTGCATTGCGAACGCTTCCCGGCCAAACCTTTGAGTTACATTGTCACTGCGGCTGTTATCGCGCAACTGCTGACCCTTTATACTGAGTTGGGCAAGTAAAAGTTAAATTGTATACATACTATTACCCATAAGCGATATGCGTACACCGGTATAAAAAAAATACTTTTTTTACAAACGTTATTCCGAAAGAGGAATAAGTATATTAGTCTTTGGAGTTACAAATTATATTATTGTAGTTGGCTTTGTACTTCGATCACAATGGTACAATAGTGGATCCAGAACTTGATAATTTTATTTTTTATGTGAAACAGTGAAACTAATATTTCACGGCTTAGAGCCTCAAAGTTATATCTAATTTTTTATAAAGGTCTCTGCTCCCCTCAGTTGCTCAGTCCTTAGTCCTTATATAGGTACTTTATCTTTATACAAACACAAGGCTTATTAGTTATTGTACCTGCAGCATGGCTGCATTAGGCTACGCATGATATTTCTTAACACGAATTTAAAATTGATCATCGAACCCATTTTTGTATCAGTGTGGTACCTACTTACTAAACTTAACTTAGAATGATCAAATCAAATCAATTAAATTAAATATGCATCACTAATGTCTAGGTGAGGGAAATTGTCCTGTCGGCTTTCCTATACATAGATTCGTCGGCCTCCGTCTTATATATTAAAACAAACAACAACAAAAACATGAATATTATTTTGTACAACAGGCATCGTTTACAACCTGACATGTGCCGCGTTCTGCTCACTCTCCTACCACCGGCTCTTGCGGTCGGTCGTGTCTTGTTGCCCGCTGAGTTTCACGTACGGCGAAGCCACTGTCACTGCTCAGTCCGCGCTGCTGTTTGCCGTCGCTTCCGTCACCAACATGTTGGCGCCATACCAGCAGCAAACGTGCTTCGACGTGTTTACGCTGATACTACAGGTATAATAATCACGCTGGTGTGCCACTACCATAGGCGTGCGCAGACTTAAATTTCTGGTCGAGCCTAGAAAATTATAGTGCCCTAAATCCTAATATTTGGACTGCGCCCCTAATTTTTTTTTTAACACACCAACATACATGTTGATAATATATTAACCTATTAATGTCTATAGTACTATAGTTATTGTATTTGTACCTATAAAGGTATAATGTTATTTTTTAGATTAGTAAAATTTATGTAATGGTTAGGTTAGGTAGGTACACACAAATATTTTTGATTTTTTTATACTTTCACGACAAACAAAATTTTCATGATCTCCACGAACATATTATTATAATATAAGCATTATAATAAAATATTTAAATATATACACACATTTTACCATGCCCCTAAAAAGTTTCAGGTCGAGCCTGGGCTTGACCGGCTCGCCCCGTGCGCACGCCTATGGCCACTACTCAGGTGTAGGTATGAGTATGGCGTATCTTGAACTGGCATAATTAAATGAAAGCTGTCACCAATTCTATTAAACATATATGCAGAGTGATTCAGTGGCGTATTTAGGAATTTGTCATGGGGAGGGTCCAGATAATTTTCAGAACACAGAGCCACGGGGGACGAAGCCCCCCACACCACCCATTTACTCTTTATTAAATAAAATATACCATATTAATTATAAGACGATATAAAATTGTCGAGTTTTTAATTATTAAATAATAATATGTACAAAACAAATTTAAAAAAAGCGGGTGAGTGGATGTCACTCTGCTGCTGTACAGTAGGTTACAAGTGGGTCAATGTATAATGGATTGTATTAAACTTGAACTCAATGATATAATATCATAATATCATTGTATAAGAAAAACGATTCTGAGCGAAGACGGTTTGTCAGTCTGGATATTTTATATTGTTATTATTTAGTATAGCCTGTAAGTTGAATTAATAATGAAATACTTTTATTTTTTATTTTTTTCTATGGTGATAGACAAAGTGTTAGAAATTAAAATCCCATTTTTAGCGGTTTTTCGTAATTTTTTGATGGTTTTTACAGTGGCATTAAATAACTATTGAGAAAATCGAAAAATGACCTCTCTAAAGTACTATCTTGATCCAATTTTCTAAAAAATAAGTTACTATATGTCTATACATGTTGAAATCGAAGCACTCCTTCTGGAAGAAATTTTGTATACAGGAAAAAAAAATAAACACCATTGTAGAACCAATAGATCCCTCAGAATCGAATATACAGTTATATGTTATAACTTTTATACAAATATTTCCTTAATTACATTAGGTACCTACTTCATTCATAGTTGATCTTAGATAGCTTTTCAACCTTAAAAAGTTTGAAAAAGATCTCTCTGGAGTGGTTGTAGATACTGGCAATGTACAAAACTACAAAATATTTAAATTAAAAAATGAATTTGGTATTTTTCAATCATTTTCGGTACCCAACTGATAAAAATAATCACGATATTTATTGAAAATGTTGATATAACTATAGCTTCGAAAATTTTTTATACAATCCGTAAAATTGTATGATAAAATTTGTTTTTTAATCATGTAAAAACTGCACAACATTTAACATGTACGAGACACGAGTCAATGGGAGGGGTCCGGACCCCATGGACCCCCCCCGTAAATACGCCACTGGAGTGATTCAATTGGCGTATTCAATATAATACCGCCTACCTTTTTTAGGGTTCCGTACGGTAAAACGGAAGCCTATTACTAAGGCTCCGCTGTCCGTCCGTCTGTCACCAGGCTGTATCTCATGAACCATGAAAGTTAGAAAGTTGAAATTTTCACAGATTATGTACTTCCGTGGATGCTATATAACAACAAAATATACTAAAAATCTTTTTTTTTCTCGAGTTAATAATCGAGGGACGGAGGAGGAACCGCGTTAGCATAACTTCTCCTCAATACTAAAAATCCTAGAATATATAATATAAGCAGTGTTGCCAACATAGCTGATGATGGTACGGAACCCTTGTCAGACTCGCACTTGGCCGGTTTTTTTTCTTAAATAATGCAGGTATTTAAAATCTGATGTTTGGAATTTTTAAATATATATATAGGTATGAATGTATGATACATCATATGATTTTGAATATTTAAGATTTTTTTTACCATTCAAGAATGTCCCGTGGTAATAATAACTTCTATTTTTCTAATGAGAGCTACCTATCTTTTTTCGTTTTAAATTATTTAGCAGTTTATGTTTTTTAAAAATTCGGATGCACCTAAATAAATTTTAGAACTAAGAACTTTAAGATAATTATACTTGTACACATGGGTAGGTAACATAATACTATGTATTACCTATGTATTATTTATTTATTTTTCAAATATTTTTAACAAATTACGAATTAGATTAGAGATTCGAAAAGTTACAGTGGGCAATCTAAATAATTATTCTATTGGCATTTTATAATTTGTAAGAATTGTCTGAATAATAAGAACACGACTAAACAAATGTTATACTTACATCCGTCATCTATTAAACTATGTTAATTATAACATGTATATAGATACATTGTCCAATGAAAGAAAATGGCAAGACCTGACGAAAAACGGGTTTTCTGAGCATTCACACGCGACACCATGCACTAGTGCGGCCCGGCCTAGATGCACAGAAACAGCGTATGTATTCTCTAAGTTTAAGTCGAAAACTAGGTGCCGTTTCAAATGTTTATTTAGATGTACATCAACATTTTCAGAAACATTATCTGCTGAATAATTTTAAGAAAAACGGTTTGTTCTAGTTTTAAAAACAGAAGTGTGTACCACCACAGCACCATTAAATAATACAAAAAATCTCAATATCCCGTAAATATGGTGTTTAAGTAAGAATATTTAAAAATTCCAAAAATCAGATTTTGAGTAACTTCATTGTTGAAGAAAAAATCGGTCTTCCTATATCTTTATTTTATCGCGTATTAGACATAAGTATACATACCCCCTTTCAATTTTTCTAGGCGACATAATTAATTATTATTTATAATATAATATTATGTTATGTTACGATTGATATTGCTTAAACCATGTGTTTGTTAACGTTCTGATTTCTACTTTCTTATGTAGGTATAGGTTACCTACTCTAAGTCTTAAGACCACTAAAAAAAATAATATTTTTTACAACAAACGTATTGCACCTAATAAAACTTTTATTTTTTTAGTACGGAATTGTCGGCATTTCAGTGTTTGCCTTGATCGTGTACAACGTGGAAAAACTACGCTCGTCGCCCGGTCGGTTTTACACTACGTTTGCCATAGTCGTGGCTGCCACTATAGTGCTGCCACTGCATATCGTCCTAAACGGTAGTCCCATACTAAAAATCTTGCATTGGGTTACGAGGGACCGACACACAGTGAGAACACGTGGATATTAGGAATAATCTTCTGTCTAAAATACCACTATAATATAACTATTAAACCATATTATATAAGAGATAAGTATACAACTACATTGTTTACAGACAATACTGCTGTTGTACTGGGCTGGCTGTTCGGCGTTTGCCATTGTTTTCGTGTGCGTGCAAATAATGAGCGACGCCAAGGCGTCAACGTCCATTAGGAAGAACTTCCATCTGGTCGCTTGCCTCGTGTACGCGCCAGGTCTTGTTCGCGATCCTTGTCTGTTGTACTTGGCCAGTGGCGTGGTTTTTGCTGGTTTCGTGTTTTTGGAAGTGAGTGTTTACATATTATACATTTTTTTTTTTCGTATCATAGAACCACAATTAGATGATAAACAAACAAATGGTAATAAATCATAATTAGATAAATAAAAATAAATATGTACAACTATATGAGTCTATATAGTATATGTATATAAATATAAATAATATGAAAATGTATAAAACTGCAGACTTCATTATAGACATCCCTACCTTCTAGGTATACAATTGTATAACGCGTAAGTTATGATATTATGCTGGGATACTATATAATACTATACATATGACATAGATATCCTTTTTATATTAAAACCTATTTATTTGTAGGTATTAAATTTAACGATTTCCTCTTTTAAATACATTTCCTGCTGCTACGATTATTTAAGTACAGTTTGTTCCTTTCTGACAGACTTTGCGCATCGCCAACATGCCGCCACTGGGTGTGGTCCTCCAGGAAGGTTTTCGAGTGTACTCGGACGAAAAGGACGAAGGACCTGTGGCATTCACTCCGATCTACTTGCTCGTCGGATGCTCTCTTCCGCTTTGGATCCATCCACGACCTGACCCCAGGAGCCTGTTACCGCTGCTGTCTGGCGTGTTGTCTATAGGAATCGGAGATACGGCCGCTAGCTTGGTAGGCTCACGGATAGGACGTCATAAATGGAAAGGTAGGTCTTGTCTGCCAATTCATTTTTTTTGAGAACGAATGTGTGTAAGATTTATAGGCGTATACCTAATTGAAATAATTGCTGATACTCAGATTTTGTACACAGTTAGAATATCCGCTATTATATTATCATATAATAGTAAATTATAACTTTAAAATGATTAAATTATTATTGTATATGTGTATATACCTATGAAATCAGTAACAATACAATTCAAGTATATACAGTATAGTAAAAAAATACCCACCACCCACGGCCTATGTGTACGCCACTGATCTATATTCTATAGTGTATATAGTACATACATATATTACTGGTTTGTTACGAACATTTTGACACTGGGTTTGTTCATCATCTCAGCGGACACATATTGGAATATAATATGGAAACAGTAACTACGGGTATGGACGTTTCCATGGAAACTCTGGCATTGAGGTATTATTTTTTGTATGCGGTGTTTCGACTTTGATTTTGGAATAACTTAAAGAAGGGAGTTTAAAGATTTCTTGATTAATCTGAGATTGATATAAATCTATGAAGAATTGTGGTAACGGTATTTTGTTATTGCTAGGGACATTTGAAATATTTTTCACTTGATATTCCAGCACAGATTATGAATCATTGGTTATAAATTGGTGGCCAGCGAAGAGATGAATATTTTTAATGACAACTCTAAATGGTTTATTTTCTTTTGATTGATAAGAGCGAAATGATTTGTTATTTTCCTTGAAAAATCAACATGTATTAATTTGTATAATATGATTATACGTAATTTGCAGGTACGAAAAAAAGCATCGAAGGGTCCGTAGCTTGTTTCGCTTCTCAAGCTTTGTGCATTGTCGCTCTCAAATATTCAGGTTTGTATAAAGAATGAAGAATGTAAATTCATAACGAAATCTGCTATTAATTAACCTTAACCTATATGAAATGGAAACAAAAATTTACTTCATTATCATTTATCTTTGCAGGAAATCCAATAGAAATAATTAACGTGTATTTATTTGAAATGTACTACTCATGTTTGAAATCTAAAATCCTTCTTATTGATTAGATTAATTTTATTGTAAATTCAGATAATTGTAAAACTTTTAAATCCATGTTTTTATTAATTAATTAATTTTTTTTTTATTAAAATCAATAGGTTTAGCATGTGACATTAATCTGATGATACCGCTGCTCGGAGCTGGTTTCGTAACTCTCGTCGAAGCAAAAACTGAACAAGTTGATAATTTAGCATTGCCTCTTTTATTGTATACGATTCTATTGCACTGTTAAATTATTAAGATTTATAATATTGATATTTGTTGATTTAAATAAAAATTCAGATATGTTTTATTAAATGTATTCTTTAATAAAATTCTTTTCTAAAATAAAATAAAATATATTATAATAATAATAAATTATAATATATTGCAATATACAATATAACATTTTATATCTTATACTAGCATCAAATATTTAATGCTATATTTTTATACGTTTTGATTTTTGTTTGTTGGAGTTGACAGTATTACGATTTATTTACTGTATACAAAATACATTTTTACGATATTAAACTCGATAAAAAGGGTTTAAATTATTATTTAAAAAATACCTACTTAGATTTTATAAAAGAAGTTGTTAGTTGTTATTTAAATACACATTACACATAATATGATTATATACAATAGAAGCGGTATAGGAAAGATGTCTCTGTTTAAATAACGGCCGTATAGGCCTAAATATAAGACAAGAATAACTCCGCATGCATTTTAGATTTGGAAAGAATTGATAAATTTTAATTTTAATGGATAAGGCTTGACAATTTAATTCAAGATTCCTCATAAGTGTTTCTTACAGAAACCCAAAAAACTCAAGCATACAAATGCACACACATTTTTTATAGACATTTCTAGTTAAAATTGGATATTTAATCTAAAAATAATATTTTTAATTATTTTTCTGTAATTCCAAAAAAATTATTATTCGTAGGGACTTATTATATTTAAGTTAGGTATTTATATATAAGTATCAGAACTATTCTAAATTACGTAGATTTTGGCACATATTATTGTTAATACTTAATAATAACAATTTATTAGCTAGAGAGTACCTATAGTATTAGGTGCATGAAATAATAATATAATAAATAATAATTTCTATATAATATATTTGATTTTTTTCGGTAAACATTAGTTTGACTTAAACTCACCGTACTACTAATAGAATAATAAATTAACTAATACCAATATAAATAAATAGTAAAATATCCTCGAAAATATATTCCAACAAAACCGCTTAGAATCGTGTGGCGTATGCAATGATTTATCATTGAATTATAATTTAACCCTTTTATTTCAACGACCTACTCAATGTCGAGGTATACTATCAACAGAGTGACTTACTCCGTTACTCGGTTTTTAATTTGCATAATATCTATTATTTTGACGGATTTTAAAATGTGTTATCAGAGTAGAAATTTGTATCAATAAATTTATGGTTAGCATTACTATTATATTACTGGTACAATATTTTCGTTTTTTATTTAATGATCATATTATATTCATATTAAATATACATTTTATACGTGCAGGGTTATCTATCCGATAGCCCATACCTATATTAGTTTTCTCGCCGAATGTTTGTGATTAAAAATAAATTACCTATATTTATGCATATGTAGGTAATTCATAGTAATTAAAACTATATAAAAACATTGTTTTTACTTTTGTTATTAATACACAATATGTAGCAGTAGCACAATGAGAATATGAGCTATATAAAACTACAAGAAAACTTGAACAACTTGATTGAAGAAGCCACCCACTGATGACACTTTCGTAGAACATAATATTTTTAGATCATAATTAGTAATTACTATTGACAAAACCAGTTAGTTATACAGTTCATGATGTACGTAGGCATCTACCTACATGACTACATTTAGCAGAAACGAGAAACTAACTTGTACATTGCTTTTTATTTTCGAAACTACTCCTTAGTGGAATTGGTTGTTGTGTATTATATATAATCTTAAACACTAACCTTGTAACAATGTCACCTTGGTATAGTTTTTGCCTTTGAGGTACTTTTTATAATATTTCAACAACCAACATTGCTATCATACCTATACAGTATACACTGATAACTGATCAGTGATCACTAATGAGTGATGTAGGGAGGTTCTTGAGCAATGTATCATAGTAGGCACTTATCATATTACTTGTATAATGTTTACAGTGTGAATATTTGTAAATAGTAAATACTTAATAGGTAGGTATTTGTGTATTTTTAATGCACTATCGTAAATAATAAAAAATATTAATTTTTAAATTAAATATTTACGAGTTTAACAAATAATGAATACGTGCACAATGTTCTCTCGCTTCATGCTATTATTGAACAATTAACTTTAAAAGTTAAAATTCATAATCATTAATCACAAATCACAATTGAATTTTCTAATATATAATAATATGTTTATCACCCATAAAACTAAATAGGTACTATAAATATTCAAATTATATTTTTAACGCACAAAATATAAAAATTTTTAAAATAGTATTTAAAAAAAACTAAAAGTTTACAATATGTGATATTATTATTAATATACAATAAATTGTGTACATGGCAGAGCTTATAGGAAGCAAAAAATAAAATTATTTTGATTGTTTTTTTTTTTAATTTGATTAAATTCAGCTTTTGATTTTAATAATTACTCAATTTACTCCAAGTACCTGAAACAATAATGTGAATTTTATTTTTATCGACCCAATAACTACAATAGGCAGTTATATTTATTTACTTTGAAGTCCATTCGTTTTTTCCATGTCGTTTGCTATTTTTATTCTTATCGCCTTGGCCATAAGACACTTTGCTGACTGATGGGAATGTGTCATTTCTCATGCTCTTTGACATATTCCTATGCATAGGTAGTAAGTTTTACATAAAAAAGAATATAAATAAAGCATCATCATATTTTATCTAAGTAATATTATTTACTTAGACGTAATGTCCTTAATATTTTTTTGTAAATACAGAGACCATAAAATGTTTTGTAAATTTAAATACCTATATTATAGACATATCTATATTACCTAATAATTATTAACCTACCTATGCCCTATATAAAAGGGAAATCATATACTTAATGTTTATATTGTATTGCTCGTGTTAATAAATTTAATAATGTCATAATAACTATAATACGTATTCCTATAATAAAATAAAACTTAAAAACTGTAATGTTTTTCTGTATTTTAAGCATATAATTAACAAAATATATCTGTTACACTAACCACTAACGTAGAACTAGTATTTGTATGTATATATTATTATAATATAATATTATTATTTTGGTATCGTTTTTATCGAAATGATATAATGTTAAAAAGTCGTTAATCAACAGCAAAAATCCCAAAATACCACTTAAACATATTATTATTTTGATTTTTTTATGAAAATATAAATTTTGTTATTTTACTCATTCTCAGCTGCTTGGAAGTTGGAAGCCCTCCCCGTTACATATCTGGCCACTGATAGATAATGTTGCTTGGCGCTCAGTTTCTTTTTGCTCAACACCATAACATCCGCATCGTTATCGTACCATGTTTTCTCTTTATTACCAATTGGCTTGTTCGCCAACGTTTCCCATTGTTTTTCGTATCTAAAATGCATAGTTATAAATGTTATAATACCATTATACGGTATCAACCTTTTCAAACTACTTTGCAGGCTGCAGCTATCAAAATACTAGTAATTTTTCACTGATATTAAATATAATATCAGCATAAAATTATTTATAATATTTATTTATAAGCTCACTTTAGTTGCTTGTTATTGTTGGATTGTAGGAGTGAAATTTGAGATTTCATTAGTTGTACGGGCTGTCTTTTTTGTTGGCCAATCTTAGCATAGGACACCTCTCCTACATCCTGATTCAAACGTAGTTGTCCTACTTGGAAGTATGGTTGCCTGAAATATAAACAGGATAACAAATATTCAAAATGTTACTATTTTTATGATTCAACAAGTGTAGCTGCATTATTATTTGTGTTTACATGGTACTTACTATACGTAGTGTTGTTAAATTATAGACAAATGACAAGTGGGTAGTTAATTAAGTACCTAAGTATAATATGATGTCACCGAATGGGTTATTACTTATTAGTTATTATTATTTAAAAAAATTTTAAAGATCTACTGTGTGTTCGTGAAAATTGGGTACCTACACTCTATTAATTTGCAGTTATCTACATTACTCAGTACCCTATACATATTTTAGATTTCCGTCTGAAGGAGATTGATGATCTCAATATCTCATAGTCAAGTTTCATGTTCCATGTTCATGAAAATTGAATACAAGGCTTATAATATATTGTTATATTGACAGTTGAAAAGTATTAGAAATACAGAGGCTCACATTTTTTTTATAAGCATTTAAAGTTCCAATTTAACATATTTGATAAAATTTAAAATTTAAAAATAATTTCTACTAACAAAATCTTATGAAAAATCCTGTATTCAATTTTCAAGTTTTGGAAATTTAAAATTTTGACTACCCGAATATCAACTAGATTCACATTTCTACCAGAAAAGATGATTATCTATTTTTTAAATAATATTTAAATGTTCTTAATAGTTCTTCTAAAATCTACATATTATACATTCTCCCCTTCTCTGCTCTACAAGTTTGCTAGTTAACACACTTGTTTGAATATTGAAAGTTTTGGAAACATAACTTATATAAATATATAATGCCTATTGTAATATGCGTATAGGTACCTACTATACTAATGCGAAAACAATTTTTCGCTAATTTCTAAATTTCTTAAGATTATTAGTAGAGAAAAACTTGTATATGAAACAATTATAATGTGTGGAAAACACATTTTTTTTTATATATAGGTAAGATTTATCAAAATAAAAAATGTGTTAATAATCCGAGTACCTCATGTTAGCTGGTACCTATTTAAATATAATATAATAGTAGGTTTATAGTCAATAATCATAGTATATAGATATAATCAATACCTCAAAGCACTTTGTGCGCTTGGTCTTCGAATCGGATTCCAACTAAGTAGTAATTCCATTAAATGTATTCCATCGCGACTTGCATTTGGCACAACCGTATTAAGCGCCAATCGTTTGAATACAGGAAACTTAAAACTCATAGCTGATGCCAATTGGTAACCTTCAAACCATTCTTTCTGAAATATAAATAATTAACAATAATTATAATATTTTTTTAAGATAATTTAATTTTGTAATATTATACCTATCTTATACTATCATAATATTGTAATTTATAGCATCATACTTCAAGTTAACAAATAATTGTTAATTTATTATTATTTACTACGGATATTACTGTAGAGGTTTAGTACCTATATCTACTCAACGAGTCCCATCTGCCTGAAAACAAGGTTTCCTCTCACGCTTAAAATGTCTATACGACTATACTCTATATTATCACGACATATTATTATTGCATGCATTCATGGTAAGCGTTATGTTCCGGTATACCAAAATATCATGCTAAGTAATTTTGAACACGAATGTTATGTCAGCAGTACATACCTAATCTACCTATCTATATTATATTGTAAGCAACTCGTGTTGTATTAAAACAACAATAAATCAAATAACATATTTATACCTAATTCACTTTTAAAAACATTCAAAAAATTGATTGTAATCGTTGTTTAGAAAATGATCCATTCAGTTTTAATAAAATGGTTGATAAAAGCGGCATATAGCCATTATGGGTGACCGTGAGTAACGGTCTGATGTTAGTTAAAATAAAAAGAATTATACATTGGTTCAATAATGATTAATTCAGAAATATTATTGATATTAAATACCTAGGTTGGTAACTATAAAATATAAACATTGACTTCTATAATTTTAGATTCTGAGTGGTTTTACAATGGTGTTTATTATTTTTTTTTTGTATATCCTGTATATAAAATTTCTACCAGAAGAAGTGTTTGGATTTCAACATATAGTACTTTATCTTTTAGCAAATTAGACCAACATGGTACTTTAGAGAGGTCATTTTTCGATTTTCTCAATAGTTATTTAATTCCACGGGAAAAACTACTGACAAATTATGAAAAACCGCTTAAAATAGGATTTTAATATATAACGACTTGCTTATCGCCGTAGCAACGAATAAAAATTATAATATTATAATATTAATTCAACTTAAAGGCTATAATAATTAATAAAAATTTAAAAAATCCATACTGACATATCGTCTCCTCTCAGAATCGTTTTTCTTATACAATGATATTATATCATTGAATTCAAGTTTAATACAAACCATTATACATTGACCCACTTGTAACCTACTGCACAGGAGAGCGACATCCAATTACCAGCTTTTTTTAATATTGTAGATATTTTGTGAAAAAAAAAACATTTTTACTAATTATTTACTCAAACATCTGAAAATATATGGCATCTACCAAACTTTAAAGTAATAAAGCATTATTTTTTTTATGTATAATATTGATCATAATAAGGAAAAGGTATATAGAAATAATGCGTGTTGAGCAAGCTTTTTTTATGTTAATAAATTGTTTAAGGTACCTTTACATTTGTTTCTGCTATATCTTATGTAGGTACCTCAGTTACTACCTACGAACTAAGTACCTACCCGACACAATTAATATAAAAATTATTTAAAAGTCACGTCAAAAGTTCAAAAGGTCAAAAATTATACATAATAATTATACTTCCGTAATCATTCATCAATGTCTAATACAAAATTATACTTCCGCAAAATAACCAATAGAAAATGTATTCAAGTAAGTCAAATAATATTGTTGCTAATTGTTTTCTGTATAGGGTTCAAATATAGAATTAGTCGGCAGGACACGCATGTTGCGTGATTTAAAATATTTTATTTAAATGATGTTTCATTGAAAATCGAATTTATTGCATTTATATTATGACATTACATCTCTATATATACTTATATTAATTGACAACCGTTTATTTGTTTGTAAAATGTGATTTAATACCATCGTAAAACCATTTATGTTTTTACAATATTTCTATTTGGATATATTATATTAGGTATTTACGACAGTCGACAATAGGTACATGAATAAATTATAAATATATAAATACTTACTCTGCCCATTCGTTGTTTAGGTAATAGGTATCAGCTATTAAACTTGATTTAAATAACTTATTATTTAAATAATATTTAATTATTTAATTATTTAATTATTTAATAATAAGTTATAAGCTGTAATGGTAAATGGTATAGGAAAATTCAGGAATTGCCTTTCCAGTCATATACGATAGATATAGGTACCTATATCCATAGGCATGCCCAGACTTTTTTCGCATTGTAAGCCGGTATTTTTAAACATACCTAGCTCAATACAAAAAATAACTCCCCAAAAACTCTTAATAGGTACAAATAACTCACAATATAATGCGAAAAGAAATCAACACGCATTTTATTTAGCTTATTTATTGGTTTTAGATATTTTAATTTGAAAAGTTTGTACTGTGATTTCATTCCAATAAAGTAACAGTGTAAAAACCTACAGACATTTTATCATATTATAATAATATAACAATGACAAAAATAGCTGATAATCTAATTAATCGAAATTCTTTTATTTTTGAAAGTTGCAGGTTGTAAAGTTGTTTTTAAGTATGAAAATAAGCAATACCTCAAGGCTCAAGGGCCTGAATGTTCTGGTGACAAAACACCCAATCATCATGAAAATCGTGGATTTTTATTTCAATTATATTATCATGAGTTAGCAATCTATTTTATTATTTCTAGGTACCTACCTGTGGTGGTTATGAAAATATAAATATGAAATCTAATTAATATTTTATTTCATCTCAACTCCCAATATTTTATGATCAGAACATAATATAAAAATATACGTATTCAAAATATTTAAATTCTTGATATAAGATACTATGAACTACCTATCTTAGTTCATGGTTCTAATTTATAATCAAAATCAAAACATTTAAAACTAAAAACTATATGGTTATGATAACTCTGCAGGGGATACCATGGCATACCCGGCATACCCCTGCGCACGCCTATGCCTATATCTACGTTATAAATTACTGACACATCGATATATTTCACTGTATTACCTATTCACTAATTCCACTTAAAGACGTTATTGTACAATGGGTACAAAAAAGCTATGGGAAAATCTAGAAGGAATATAATTTTGTATTGATTTATCATTATTTATTCAGATTTTACTTCAATGAAATTGGTTAAAAGTATTTTTGACTGATAACTTTGCTAGTAAATTCAAACCTTTGATAAATCAACCTATATTATGTCAATATTATATATATATATCGGATATGGATCTATATGGAGGCAATTCGAGAGCACCCGCAAATCATAAAGGTACCCTTAACTACCACCTATTTTAATAATATTTGAGTGTAATAGATAGATGTCAACATTTATATTAATTATAGTTCATTAATACCTATAAATACATTACCAACTTATAACTTTACAAGATAGCTATTTATCAAATCTTAATAATATTTTATAATAAACTAATGTTATAAAAATTATATGTAATACGTTAGGTACCTATGTTAATCAGTGCTTGACTTCTGATAGTAAATATTAGAGTACCTAACCTACTTTGATGAAATTTAACAACAAATTGTGTCCCTCTTTTAGGTATATACCTGCACCTAGACCTAATATAACTTGGAGAAGCTCTGCAACCCACACCCCTTTTATTATTGGACCTTAAATCATATTATAACAAACAACATATTATTACTAAACAACTAGGTATATTAAGTTTTAGCTATATAAGCTTTTTGAAATGAATCAATAATAATGTACCTAGGTATAGTTTTAAATATTTATATTATGTTAGTTATTTATACTCGATCTACCTATGTAGGTATATATCTAATAAATAAAAACAATGTTTGTTTGTTTCCAACCTGCGCATAGACACAAAAGCCACTTAACCGTTTTCAATAAAATCTATCAAATATATGAATAAAAATTCCTTTATAAAATAACCATATATTCTATGCATCCTAATAATTTGAAAAAAGCAAATCTGTATACCTATCCGAAAATGTTGTTGAAGTGCTTTGTTCCTCCCTCCATTAAACCAAGCACTGATTTTACGTCATAATCAATGAATATAGGTAATATAATAAATAATAATACGTAGATACAGATAAACCGATTAGGAGGTATATAAAACATGTTTCATGTTTAGATCCTATATTATGCAACATATGAGTTGTAACTTTTAAAAATATATTCCATTAGCCTAACATCAGCAGCCTATATATATATATAGGTACCTTATCGGGAGTGCCTAGAACCGAGCATATTTTGAATATTTGATCGATCTCGCTCGTGCCCGGAAACAACGGTCTGAACGTGTACAGCTCGGCCATGATGCAGCCGACGGCCCACAAGTCGATCGGCGTGCTGTAATTGATCGAATGCAATAACACCTCGGGGGCTCGATACCATCGGGTGGACACGTAGTCGGTGTACGGAGGGCGCGACCGAGTCTCCCTGGCCAAACCAAAATCGGCGATTTTCACGAGCTCGGGACCGCAGCACAGTAAGTTCTCCGGCTTCATGTCCCGGTGGAAGAAACCGTGCCTGTGCATGAACGCCAATCCTTGCAATATCTTTGAATAAAATTACACAAACGAAATGGAATATATATAATATATGTATATGTGGATATTGTGTATATATTATTATTAGGTAGGTACATAATATTATATACGCGTGATGTACATATAGTTTAGAGAAGGGAACAAAATCTGAATGACTATGAATACACCCAAATGAAGGGGTTCGTGCGAGAACGAGATAAATCCATTCATCGAAACTTTTTGAGAAACAAATTTTCAACAGAAAAACAAACCAGACGGCTCTAGTTACATAGTAGGGCAGTGGAATTTGTCTCATTATTGCACAGATATAATCGTCATATTTTTCATAATTGAAAACGGAAATTTCATTTTTTGAAACTTTTCTAGATGCAAAAAAAAAAATCCTGGAGCTATCTGGTTTTTCAACGGAAATGTTATATTTCCTATACTGGTTGTTGGTTTTGTCTCGTTCTTGTACAAAAAACTCGTAATTTTTTGCCTTAACAAATTCAATTAAAACCCGACTTTTACGAGAAATGTCCGGTTCTTGCACTGGCCCTTTCAAATTCGGATTTCGATTACAGATTCTATAATCCCAGGGATATTCTGATGGATTATTTTCGATGAATTTCTTTAAACTATTAATGAGCATAGACCAAAATATACATATCTATGCCAACTGTACCAACTATTAGATACCTACAGTAGTAATTGGATGAAAAAAAATTTTGCATAACCCTCATGAGTTTCTCTCATAAACGTCTTTATATCGACGGGATTATATTTAGGTATTCAAACTATATATAGTTAAACTAAGATTATGTTTGGATAACTTAACCCCAAATAAATAATAGGTACCTAATGCAATGTGTGTAAAAATTGCTAGAAGTACCTACTATTTGGGGGAATTTTTCTAAAATAATAAATAATAATGGAACCCTTAATATAGATTACAATAAATGTAAAAAGTTGATTTTTTTAGTTTCAGTTAAAGGATATTATTTTAATCAAATAAGTTTGGAATACTGTCTGTCTGTCCCTAATATTTAGATAATTACCTAATATCTAAATATTACTGTTTACCACAATGATCAATGAATAAATTATAAATACAACAAGTAGGTATAAAATGTATATGCATTTATACAAATAACTTATTTTTCCACTTAAGAGTTATTTTGCCTCGACAGTTGGCAATAATAATATGTATTATACTTAAAATGTTGGTATAATGTATAATGTATATTATATATTTACATCATACAATTTTTACCTGATAAAGTATATTTCTGATGGACTGTTCAGGAAAAAATTTACTTTGACTCCGCATAAGCTGATAAAGATTTTCTTTCATATATTCGAATACAAAGTAGAGTGTGTCGTTTTCTCTAATGACTTCTCTCAGCTTTATTAAATTAGCATGATTTAATTTTTTCAAAGACTGCAAAAATATTGTAAAATTTGATATAACTTAGAATTTTGCATGATGTGTATTAGTACAATAAGAGTGTACCCACCTTAACTTCTCTCAAATTCATTGCTTCGTCCCAAGAATAATATTTTCTTTTCATTCTGTAAGAATTAAATGTATTTTAAAACACAACACATGGGGTCTTAAAACATTTAGCCATGTATACGGTACCTATACCATAATTTATTATTATTATAGGTAGGTACCTACCTATTTAAGTATATACCTATCTATACCTATATTATTACACATAATGACTACTACCTAGCTGAAGTAGGTATTTGTATAATACCTAGCGCTGTCTAAATGGCTTAATTTATTTATTTATTTTTTTTTTGTTTATTTAAAGCCTCAACAACAAAGGTTATTGGCTTACGGTATTTACATTTTTACATTTTTGGATATAAAAAAATTATGGTTATTACTAAACCTAAGTTTAAGGGTGTACAAAATAGTGATAAATAATAGAATAGAAAAAAAAAAGGAACAATGTAATTAAATAAGGTTGTACAGTTTTGTTTGCTGTAAAAACATTAGGGTGTTATTGAAGTTTTTGAGGTCGGGTCCGAGTATTTCGTAGAGGTGGTCCGGGATATTTAGAGAGGTTTTGGTATCCGCGTATTTCCGGCAGTGAAGAAGAACGTGTTCGACGGTGATGATTTCCCCGCAGGTTGTGCATTGGGTTGGATCTTCATGTCTCATGAGGAAGTTATGTCTTAATTTATTATGATAACGTTAAACGTAGGTATCCGGTGTTTTGATTTTGTTAGTGTTAATATTAATATACTAAATATTAAACAAAAAATTCGACAAAAACATATTCATTGAACTACAGGCGAGGATCTATAGCTTATTACCCTCAACAATTGCATATAGGTATACACAATTATGAAAACTTCTACGAGTTACAACTTGCAGATACAGGTATTCAAGTTGTAATTTACGATACGAGGTTAAATGTATATATCAGGTTACGATACATCAGTAGGTACAATAGACAATACTATAATTGTTCTGTGCTACAATAGTATATCACATGTTAATAACATGATGTTATACCAAAGAGTAATAATATTGCAGTACATAAGGTATAACAATTAATACTCATTGTACACGAGCTGATAGGTACCTACCATAACCATATTAATTGTACGCGGCTTATTATACTAAAAATTGGATAATCTTTCTTGAACAGAATAATATTAATACGATATTTTTTTATATTTCATTATTTTATTGTGTATAAATAACAAATATATAATACCAACTGTTATAATGAACCTATTCTTTTAATCTTTTTCCTTAGTTGAATTTTTTTAAGAATGTTATAATTTTGATTTTATTTTATGTTTGTGATGGTTAATAGTGTAATACACAAATAATAATAATATTATGTATGCGCAATTCCGTCTACCTTTTAATGGCCACCTTTTCTCCTGTATCGATGTTTTGTCCCAACACGACTGATCCATACGTGCCGTCTCCAAGCTGATTCAGAGTCATGTATCTGTTCATGTTGGATTATTGTCATTTCTTCATGAACACACGTGGCGTGAATATAGCAGTGTTCTGTTGATATGTCTTTGCGTCGGTGACAGTATTATAATATAATATACGCCAGCATAGGCACGTTTTTAGACAGCGTGTATCTTACTACCTATATATTATAAGCAATTGGGTAACGTAAAGTTAACATTTTACTCGACACAACAGAATATTATTAGGTAGATTCGTACGATATATTGATCTTTCTACTCTGCGGCACGAAGACACCACATTGTACGGGGAACGCAGAGCTTATAGTTAGGTATACCGAATATTATTATACAAAGCCGAACACTCAAAACCAACCACCTGCATCAATATAAATATACCGTTGCTAGGATACATTTCAGGCATTTTGAACAATCACAAGACCTTGTCTGAAAGTTCACGTGGGCCGCATAGCATTTAACATATTATGTATATATATATATTTGACTAGACAATCAATATACCTATACCTATGTATATAATGCGAGTTGAATTAAAATAGAAAAAAAAACATAACATACCTACCTACCTAATAAATATTACTGAGTCCATCGTGATAACACAATAATATATTATATTTAATAGGTAGGTATACCAATGGACTATGACCCATATATATAAAATATATAACCGTTACTAATTATATATGTACTATACGTAATAGGTAGGTACTATAATAATGCTAGTCTGTTGTAGGTATAAGTATTCGATTTGACTTATTCCACCTAGAAATAGACGGATACGGTACACCTACTAATTACTATTATTTATTTACACTTTCAAGAGGTAGGTAAGTAAACATATCCGAGCAGCACCAAAATTAATAGCATTGATGAGATTTGTTTGATTAAAAAACATATAGTAAATATACCTACCTACCTATGTTACCTATAGGTATAGGCGTATAGCTATTATTATTATTCGAAATAATTAATATTTTAGATTACCTACCTACCTACCTACATTTTGGTATGCGTGCAGTATATTATAATTATCACAATGATTACCTACTTTTATGACTTGCTTTCTTAATTCCAGACATATATTTTTTTATATACCTATATAAAATTAGATCCCCACTTTAACTGTTGTGTTTAGGTAGGTACATCAAAAATATGTCCAGAATTAAAGTAGTGAAAAATCATACGAATAATCATTGTCATTGTATTTGTGTTTTGAATTATATATTTTTACTGAATCAGTACTGAAAATCATAGAAGATTGATTAAGAGGACGCTACCCATACATTTGTGACTGTGCTTAAGGGTTGGTTTTTTTTCGAAATTTTAATTTTCAAGAGAGATATGAGCATTTTTAATTTGTGATATTTTACATACCCATATCTTGCTTGCAAATTAACATTTCCAAACACAGATAATGTTCTTACCTAAACGTTTTATAATAGGTCAATTCACTTTAATATAAAAACTAACAGCACACTATTGAAACTAGTGAACGACAATTTGCCATGTCGTACGTGTGTAAGACGGAGACAACAAATTGCACAGATAATGTTATTATTTAAAAAATGTATGATAGGTCAAATCACTCTAATATCAAAACCAACAGCACACTATTGAAACTAGTGAACGAAAATTTGCCATGTCGTACGTGTGTAAGACGGAGACAACAAATGCATGGGCAGCATCCTATCTTGATTTTAAATTTTTATCCCGACGAAATCAGGTAGCACTGCAGCTAGTTATAATAAAAAATAGTATTAATTTTATATTGCAAAATAACGGAATGCGAGTAATATTTGATGTTTATTAATTATTATTTATTAGACCACATGAAGATAATATGAAGATGTTGTTAGTTGTCAAAAAAGAGATTATGGGTACCTTTTCATAATCGATGCTTAAGAATAAGTACCTATTGATTAATTGATATAGGTATACTTATGAATCAAATGATATTCATAAACGAGACAAATTAATTGCAAAGTGGACCATGATGGGGAGGAAATTTTGTACTAAATAAGGCCATGAAGGGAGGGTCTATCAAAGAACCACCGCTCCGACGCTGTCTTAGACGTGGACGCCCTCACAAGTCACAACTTAATTTTTACATAACGCTAAGCATTAACCCAAAATAATAATATTGTCATGTATAACTATTAGCTATGTATAATATTATTATCATGTTAAAATGGCTAAAAAAAAAAAAAATTAAAACCATTCTGTAAATATTCGTAGATAGCCGGGCTATCGAAAGATTGAGAACGTTTACCTTTTTGGAAGAACAATTAAGAACACTTAAAATTAACAAATAACTTACCACTGACCCAAAAAAAACCAAAAACGAATACGATTGAGAACAGATTTACGTGCAACGCGTTGCCCGATCATTTATTTGGTTATTGAAAGATTCATGCCTGTATGCATAAAATAAATATTCTTGAAAAAAGTCATCAATTAATAATTATAACCATATACAAATATATGGGGGCACCTATTAATATGTTAATATGTAATACAAATATATGAATAAAAAATGTAAAATAATATGTACAGGGTGTCCCGTGAGGATTTACTGATTATCCGTAGAGGGGGACTCGCAGCCCGGACAAAAACCAGTTTATTGACGTTTTACTAATAAACTAAAAAAATTATTAAAAATCATGAGATTAATGAAAATAAAATGTTAAAAGCTCAAAATGTTCACAAAAATATACTCTATAGAATGGCATTCTTCAATTTTTTCAAAAATAAAAAAATAATTTTTTTAACTTTTTTACTAAAAAATTTAATTTAATTAAAAAATAAAATATTTGTAGTGCTTACCTCTGCGAGTCTTAATAAAAAAACATAATTACGATATCTCCATTATTTCAGGAGATATCGCAATGAGTAAATACTCACGGGACACCCTGTATAACTTATAAAAATATGTAATACACAGAACGATTTTATAAAATGCTTACCACCATTTATTTCTTTAAAAATACTTTTATTCAAATGAAAATCCCAATTTTTACTGTTAATTATTTAAAGGGTGATTCTCTTGAAAATGTTGAAGTAATAAATCAAATTCTAATAAGTAGTTTCTGAGTTATTAAATGTTATACTACGTATAATAATCCTTAAATATAGTTTTACAAACATATAAACAATATGTATTATTAGATGTAATAGTAGTATTCGTTTTACTTTACTTAAATCATTTTTACAAACTATTTATATTAATAGATCAATAGTAATTACTGACATTTTCACATCATCTAAGCCCCCAAATCTACTTAACCTATTGCCATAGGGCATGGACATATTATTCTTAGTAGGTACTTGACTGCAACTATTTTCAATATGTTTCTGTTTGAATTTCAATTAGAATTAACATTAACATAATATATTGCTGAATTATTTCAATATTTATCGTTCTCAAATTATCATTCGATTAAATCTGACAACGTTGGAAAAAAAATATGGGGCGTTCTCGGCAAAAAGTCCATTCTCGATGCTTATTTTAACCGGAATAGCCGCTTCGGCTAATAAGTAATCTTATTGCTAGGTACCTACTTAACCAATAAAAAAATAAACTAATATATGCCATTGATTAATGATGTTAGGTGGTTGGGGTTTTTAATAACAACACACGTTTTTTAATACCCTGACTAAATAATAGTATAATACCTAATCTAATAATATATCCAACTGCACATAAATCATAATGTAGTAAATAACTTAGGTATATTATATTTACTTATAAACTTTATTAATTGATTTCGAAGTGGCCAATGTTGTGGCTATAGGTTTAAGATGTAGATATAAGCCCATAAGCCATAATAGGTATAACTGATGTACTTCTATCGATTATTGTTAGTGGCCAATGTCAAATCTAATTGGGTCACACTGCATCAAGAAACATTAGCGTTTTTAAACACAAGTAACATAAATACATGTTAATGACAGCTGACAAATTATCTTAAATTTCAATACAAATTTGACATCAGAGATTGCCTTTCTGGCACCAAGCCACAGCATTTTATTGAGAAATTGGTCAGGCGAAACCACTTCCAACACGACCTAGTCTTCTTGATGATGATAAACAAAGGGTTTGTAGGGTTGGATCAGGGGCAACGGCATTGAACGCTAAGTTAGCATGAGCTTGGCGGAGTGTTGAGATGTGAAGTAAAGAAGGATGCAAAACCGAAAGAGGGACTTTAGGTAGTGAATGCTGTTTAAATACGGGGATCCCCCCTAATAGATTCCAGCCAATCCAACATCACTACATGAGTATGATTACTAACGACATAAACATATAAATTATCTAATATCAACTAAATTATCGACTGGGAGAAAAAAATAGCCAGGGAAAATCATAATTTTAGAGGCCCTCAGTATACTAACGGCTCTTTATATAATATAATATATTATATGTATATATTTTTTTTTTGTAAACACAATTTACCTTTTAAATTTTTAAATATTTTAATTAATTAATATAAAACAAACTAAAATAACTATTGTACATTTGTTGGTTTGAGTATATCCCAAATAATTGGTATGTATATAATTTAAACTACAATCAATATTTGATTTTAAGTAGGCTGGAGCGTGACTCTTTTCGTTCGAAAACATAGCTCACAACTTCAATCACTAAGCCCAATATAATGTTCTGACATTAATTTTGAAAGCAGATTTGAATTTTTCACTTAATTATCTATGCTGATTCTATGACGTTTTTTTTTTTTTTTACTTAGAAATTTACTAACAAAAAGAGTAAAAATAGAACATATTCATAATTCAAATTTAAATATAATGATATAGAATATAAAAATGTGCCACAGTTTAAGCATAGAAAATTTGGAGAATTTAAATTTGCCTTCAAAATTTAAATCGGAACATCCTACTGAGCATAGTGATTTGTCACTGGCAGTATTTAAAAAAAAAAATTTTTGTAATTTTATAAAGTAATATTTATTGACTTGTGTATGCTCGTAGGTAAAATTATTAGAAAGAAATTAATTGATGTTTAATTTCAATTAGTTGTTTTGCGTACAAAATGTATTTTAGTTGTATATTTATAATTTCATTTCATTACACACTAGTAAACCACAAGAGATGGATTTATTGAACATTGCATTTTTGAAAAATTAAAAGAATTTACGATAATTTAAATTCCGTAAAAACCTGTTATTTAGTCATCTGGATTGTAGATAATACACTTAAAAATTATTCATTCATTATTATTTCAACCACAGTGACAGTTTGATCATTAAGAGGACGCTACACCCGCATGTGTTGTCTCCGTCTTACAAACGCGTAACATAGCAAATTACGTCCACGGAAAACAAACGAATCGGCATCAAAAAGTGGTTTTAGAGTAAAAATACCTATAATAAAACTTAAAGAGAACAATATTTTGGAGGGAACCTCATCGGCGTTTTTAAAATATTAACTATTAAAAAAGTTGTGGTTATTTAAAAAAATGAGTTTTTGTGCCTTCAATATCTAGCTGTGTATTTAGATTAATACAAAACCCCGATGAGGTTCCCTCCGAAATATTGTTCTCTTTAAGTTTTATTATAGGTATTTTTACTCTAAAACCACTTTTTGATGCCGATTCGTTTGTTTTCCGTGGACGTAATTTGCTATGTTACGCGTTTGTAAGACGGAGACAACACATGCGGGTGTGGCGTCCTCTTAAAACAGTTCACTATCCAAAAATATTATTGAATCAACAGAGGGATGTTGAAAATGCACCCAAAGTTACTTTAACTAGACCATTGTAAAAATTAACTTCAAAAAATAAGTCAATGAAATTTTGATAAGTGTTTTTATTATTGATCATAGAAAGTAAATGCATCAGAAAAAAAAAAACAATTTATCTGTTGGTGTTTAAACGCTGTAGGAATGTGATGAATTGCAATTAAGTTTAATCGACTTCTTCAATAGTTGGACCGGCTCCTGAGCCAGCACCTGGGGCGGGACCACCTGCACCAGCAGCTCCTGGGAATCCAGGCATACCACCGGGACCACCTGGCATACCACCACCAGCACCAGCATACAATTTGGTGATAATTGGGTTGCAAATGCCTTCCAATTCCTTTTGTTTGTGTTCATATTCTTCCTTTTCAGCCAGTTGGTTAGCATCCAACCATTTGATTGTTTCGTTAACTTTTTCCAAAATTGTGTTCTTGTCAGATTCTGGGATCTTTTCTTTGATTTTTTCATCTTCCATCGTGCTCTTCATGTTGAAGCAGTAAGATTCCAAACCATTCTTGGCGGCAATGATATTTTTTTGTTGTTCATCTTCATTCTTATATTTTTCAGCATCATTGACCATACGTTCAATATCTTCCTTGCTTAAACGTCCCTTATCATTGGTGATGGTGATTTTATTTTCTTTGTTGGTAGATTTTTCAATAGCACTAACGTTCAAAATACCATTGGCGTCTATATCGAAGGTGACTTCGATCTGGGGGACTCCACGTGGTGCGGGAGGAATGGAAGTCAGCTCGAATTTTCCCAACAAGTTATTATCCTTTGTCATGGCACGTTCTCCTTCATACACTTGGATCAAGACTCCAGGTTGGTTGTCAGAGTAAGTGGTGAAAGTTTGGGTTTGTTTCGTTGGGATGGTTGTGTTACGCTTGATGAGAGCGGTCATCACACCACCAGCAGTCTCAATACCCAAAGACAGAGGAGTGACATCGAGCAACAACAAGTCTTGGACTTCTTCAGATTTGTCTCCGTGTAAAATGGCAGCCTGTACTGCTGCACCATAGGCGACGGCTTCATCAGGGTTAATAGACTTGTTTAATTCTTTGCCGTTGAAGAAGTCTTGTAATAATTTCTGTACTTTGGGGATACGGGTAGAACCTCCAACCAACACAATGTCATTGATGGCAGATTTGTCCATTTTGGCATCACGCAGAGATTTTTCTACTGGCTCCATGGTGCTGCGGAAAAGATCGGCATTCAATTCTTCAAAACGAGCACGAGTGATTGAAGTGTAGAAGTCGACACCTTCAAACAAAGAATCAATCTCAATGCTAGCTTGGGTGGACGAGGAAAGAGTACGCTTTGCACGTTCGCAGGCAGTCCTCAAACGCCTCAGGGCTCTCTTGTTGGTAGTCACATCCTTCTTGTACTTGCGTTTGAACTCTTGTACAAAGTGATTGACCATTCTGTTGTCAAAATCTTCACCTCCCAAGTGAGTGTCACCAGCAGTTGATTTGACTTCAAATATTCCATCTTCAATGGTCAAGATGGATACATCAAAAGTACCACCACCCAGATCAAAAATCAGAACGTTGCGTTCTCCAGATGTTTTCTTGTCTAAACCATATGCAATGGCAGCAGCTGTAGGCTCATTGATGATACGCATTACGTTCAAACCAGCAATGGTACCAGAATCTTTGGTAGCTTGACGTTGAGAATCATTGAAATATGCAGGTACTGTGATAACAGCATTTGTTACTGTTTTTCCCAGGTAAGCTTCAGCGGTTTCCTTCATCTTGGTCAAAACCATGGACGATACCTAAATACAAAATTAAAAAAAAATTATTATTTGTGATAATTTTTCTTTTAATTTAATTCAATAGTACCTCTTCAGGGGAGAAGATTTTGTTTTCTCCTTTGTAGGAAATTCTGATTTTGGGTTTACCGCCGTCACTGACTACTTCAAAAGGCCAATGTTTCATATCAGCTTGTACAGTAGCATCTTCGAAACGTCTTCCAATCAAACGCTTGGCATCTATAATGTTAAAAATTTTTTTTAGTAATTGTCATTAACAATATTAGTAGCCTAATACTTACCAAAGATTGTGTTGTTGGGGTTCATGGCGACCTGATTTTTGGCGGCATCTCCGATGAGACGTTCGGTATCGGTGAAACCAACATAACTAGGTGTGGTACGGTTACCTTGGTCATTAGCAATAATCTCTACTTTGCCGTGTTGGAAAACACCGACACAAGAGTAAGTTGTACCCAAATCAATACCAACAGCAGGAGTTTTGGCAGCCATTTTTCTTGGTATGTAGTATTTTTATAGTAAGGAATATATGAAATTAAGTCTTGTAGTTTGACAAGAAGTCCTATATAAAAATAATAAAAAAAAAATTATTAATTATATATATAACTGTATTGATAGTTTAACATTGGAATTATTCCATCCATATCCAGTATAACAAGGACATACAAAATTAAAAATCATAACTACCTATTCACAGTATGATTTACAATACAAATACCAACATATTTTACTATGTTGTATTAAGACAAGATTAAACTCCTATACTCTTAAGCTGCCTATTTATACTAATTAAAATAATATAAATAATTGCATCATGCATTTAGTTAAAATGTATTACATATTTAGGAGGTTAAGGTATCGGTTATATTTGTGTTATAATTAAAAGAATCTCATTAAAATAACGAGTCATAGCAGGGAACAATCAATAAAAAATATTAGTATATAAATTAATATAATCTTTTTGGTATAAATAAAAAAAAAAATGTATGATCATAAAAACTATAAACTGAATAATTATTATCAAACAATTAATATTCGATTACCTATTGATCACTAATGCTCAGTCAGTTCTCAACATTGGAATATGATGGAAAATCGTTTTATTAAACTAAGTGATGCGTTATAATACGGCCTTGGCCCAACAGGTAACGACACTAAGGTTTGATGATAATTGATACTAAATACCAATATAATATGAAATGGTAATAAAACGAGAATAAATGCTCAAGTTTGTTTGGTCGTTGAGCATGAAAAACAAAATACCAATACGGAGTCGTGAAAAACACGAGTTTAACACTTAGGTTATGCGGTTAATGGCGCGAACAGGCGGCACACCACCGAACAAAGAACCGACAAAAAGACGGACGGCGAGAACGAAAACGACAATCATATATTATTACGCGATCAATGGCAACGGGATAATACGATTTGATAAAACGAATATTCAATAAATTGAAAACGACGAAAACAATTAACGTTCGTATATAACCTTAAAAGCGTACATCGTGCGAGGTGCACCACAATAGTATAGGGATATAATATTGTCGAAAAAATAATGCGAATGTCTTGGTTTTGGAAACAAATCGTGTAACTACAGGGAAGTATTGTTCTGATAATGAAAGTAGAATAGATTTCATAGTTTGGGACATTTCAAAACAAGATAAAATAAAAATAATGAATAAAAAATCATACTCACAGACTAGTATCCCGCGTAGAGTCCAGGAACAAAATGGAAGATGCCGACAGACGAGTTCGTTGCCGTAGCGCTTTCAGTGGTTATGACTTGTGTTTACTCGGTGGTGGGGAGTTGACGTAAATGAATCCGTTCGCCGTTGTAGCAAACGGTGCGTATTGCCGGGCTGACGGTGAGGTGAAGGGTGGACAAAGTGGTGGGGAACGACGGCTCTAGAACATTCTAGACGTTTCATGGAAGAAAAAACACGACCACAGTTTCCGCCTTTCCGGGTGTTTCGACCGTTAACGAATGCCGACCCCCCAGGGCCCCACAGACATCGCGTTCGCGTTTTCCAGACGTGTTCCTAATGTATCGTGTACTATAAATTGTGGTCATGTGTGTTTACCGTTTGGCCTTGGCGGTTGAACCTTGGACTTTATAGTTTGTACTGTTTGCAAACCGCGATTGACGTCAACGCCATTCATCGGAATGTATGGATGGACAATTTAGGATTTCTGCGGTGGGATAAATGATTAATATCCAGAAAAATGCACCTCAATGCACACAATTTAAGATACACTTTTATACTGTTGATATTATCCGTCTAATATAATTTATATTTTAAATATAATTGTATTATTTAGGCAGTAGGCATCTAGAAAAGGCACCCTAGTAAATAATAATTAAGGAAATTTTCTTTTATTGAGAATCTTTATGGTTTATCCCTGAGACCCCTACGACCCCCCTTGACAGCTATGAATGGGTACCGATTTTGGACGTCTAGTACTCAAGTCGCGCCTGTAGGTCGGTCAATATTAGATGGAAATAGGAAATATCTTAAACCGTTTCCAAAATCTTAGATCATAAGATAAAATAAGGATTTTTGAAAATGCTTATTGGCCCTTTGGCGGTCTTTTTCGAAGACGTTTGAAAGTCGAGTTTGAGTAACTAGAAATATTCTCTCGCACGTCCTTGGAAATTGGTAATTCAACGGGACTGATAGTTGATACCATTATAGAAAAAAGATTATATGGTTGATACTGTCCATTCTGTGCTTTATGAAAGTCGAAAAGCATAATTCCGAAAGCCATGTTTGTCGAGGGTCTTAAAGCAAGTCAGTCAAGTGAAAAACCATTAACGTTCAACTTGTGGGCTGTGGCTTATATTATAATATACCTCTTTATACACAGTCACACTGCAGTAGTGTAGTGCGTTACTGCGTTCATTTTGTATGGAAAATAGAAAATGGTGGTAAATTCCGAGTATTTCAAATGTATATTTTAATATTTATATAGTTTTTATTATACCTATACCTACGGGCTACGTTGTTATTCTAATGCAACTTTAACTAATTAAAGCAAACATTTTTTACATTTAAAGTATTTGAAGCTATAATTTGTCCGAGGATTTTTTTACCGTATTTTTATTTCAGGGTATTTTCTTTTTAAATCTAAGATTTTAAAATCTAATGTAAGATTCCTTCTAAGGTTAAATTTTTATCAACGTTTGAAATTCAAATTTTTACAACATTGGATAAATCGATTTCTCATATGTAACGATTTTCTTAGTTTGTTGTAAATTGTAATTCAAAAACGAATAACCGTAGACATTTGAGATTTTCTATATAAATGATAAAATTTTCAAAATATTTTTATTTGTTTTGAACTCTTTAGTCTTTACAGACAATTTCAAAATTCAATTTATTTAGTTTTTTTTCTATAAAGATCAATAAAATTTTATTTGTTGGGTCAAAATACAAGGCACCTGATATATTTCTTAAATAGCAGTTGAAAAATATTAAAAATACACGTATAGGCACAATTTTTTTTATAAATATTTAAAGTTCAATTTTTGACAAAATTTATCAAATTTTAAAACTTTAAATGATTTTATAGTTAAAAATGTATAAAATGTTCAATTGTTCTAGTTAAGGATGAAAACTTACAACAAAGTTCCACTTAAGTTGGTCATTTTGCAACCAGAAATTCTTTAAAATATGAAAACAATTTTTTTTATAGTTATTTTAATTTTATGTTCAAATTTGGACGAAATTACATATTAAATTACCATTAATAACGATTTTAGTTATTTTGTTGTAATTTTATAATATTAATTCAACTTACCGGCAACCGTATTGTCCGTGTTAAATGTTAATAATAACTAATAAGCAAGTCCGGTGGACTAGTAAAAAGGGCAAGGGATGCTACACAATTTAAAGGGCAAATAACGAAAATTGTTGGGGCAAATTTAAAACATGTAAATAATTTATAAAATATTAATATATTTTATTTTGTTTTGAAAAAATATTAAATATTGAATATACGTTAAAAACATAAATAAGTACCATGTTACAACAAACTTTCAATCAACATTTTACAATATTATAAATCACTATAATAATCGTAACTTGGTAATAACGATCTGCTGTTCATTAGGTATCTATAGAGTCTTAGCATCCCAGCATCCCAGCCAGTCCGCGCCTGCTAAGAAGTAATAATTATAATAACAATATAAATATAATATAAAATATCCACACTGACAAATCGTCACCTCGCCGCTCAGAATCGCTGTTCGTGTATACAATGATATTTTATAGGTATCATTGAATTCAAATGTAATACCATGCATTTTACAGTTAACCAACTTGTAACCTACTGTACATCAGAGCGGCATCCACTAAACCCACCCTTTTTTTTTTAAACTTTTTTGAATAACATCAATCAACATATTTTATTATATTATACGTATTTAAGAGGACTCTTGCATTTGTTGTCTCCGTCTTACACACGTACGACAACCTAGCAAATTTTCATTCACTTGTTTTTATAGTGATATATTAGTACCTACCTATATTACTATATATTAGACTGAATTGACCTATATATCAAGGTAAGAAGATTATCAGTGAAATTTCTCCATACCAATTTTTCAAACCTTATGGGTAGGTATGTAAAATATTACAAATTAAAAATGGTCATAATATTTTGCTTGAAAATTAAAATTATTGAAAAATTACCGACGCTAAATAGCTAATTTAACTAACACAGCGTTTCTTGTACATTTTTATCCGTGGAACCCTTTTCTATGTCCACTTTTATTGTGGAATCTCTGTTTTTTTTTAGTTTTTAGATTTTTTTATTTAGCTTTCAACAACAAGTTATTATACAGATCGACAATTAGAACCCCTACTTCGTTTCAATAGTCATTTTTAGCGTCATTGTAAGGATTGTAAGGATTGTTTGCAATAAAAATAATAATTTCATATAATAATAATGTGTATACTGTATTTATTATTTAATCCAAAAAATGTTAATATAAAAATAAAGATAATAGTGATTTCAAATAATAATAATGTGCATATTATACTGTATTTAATTTAAAAAATATTTTAAATAACACACATAAACAGGACTTTTATATTTTAATTTTAACGAGGGTTTCTCGGAACTCTGAACTCAGAATTCAAGGGTTTAAGAAATGCTGCTCTAACATATTATTTTTAATACCTATGTATTCCCAATTAAGTTAGTTAATCAGTAATCACCAGTATAATGCTACTGGGGATTTTCTTTCCTAGTGACGGGATTTTTTTCCGGGGAATATTTCTCCCCAATTCTCATCGGAATTTGTGGAACTGTGATGTAACTGCAGTGTAAGGATGTGTAAGTGACGGATACCAAATCACCAAATTAACAAAATCCACCGTGAAATCTAATCTAAACAATTTTGATTTTCGGTTATTTCATGGTGTCAAAAATTATAAATTCCGCCAAAATTCTTATCTGTATTTTGATTTTTTAACATTTCCCTTATCATT